AGGTGACCCATTCAAAGCCAATTCTAAAGTTGGACAGTGTTACAGATGACAACATTTTAAAAGCTCTTTTTAGCACCAGCGTAGACTTTGATCAATCAAAACAGACTGACGTGCATCCAATGGATGTTCAAATGTCAGTATATCACTGCTCAGACAGCTTTTTGAAGCAGAACATGATTACAAAGCTATCACAATGTCAGTATGCCTTACCTTTGCTTGTTCCTGACCCAGTCACAATGGATATTGAATGTCCTCTCTGGACGTTCAGACAAATAAGAAAAACATGGAAGGTAAATGAAATCAAATATAATTCAAACATTGTCACCATGAAGAGTATGCCCATCTGCAAAGCTGAGACACCCATGGTGTCATTTCTCCGCCTGGGTTCACTATCTCTGTCTAAGTCACAGCTGATTAACACTTTGATCAACGACCGTCACAGCACCTTCTTCCACAGAAACTGCCCAGGTAGCACCAAGTCTCGCCATCTGATGGATGGTGTGGCAGAGATTGCCTGGTACTGCCCTGCTGGAAAACCCAATGATACCTTCACTGACTGCATTGCGTTCTGTAATCTTCATGGTGATGCTCTGACAAATGAAAAACAGTGTGACATACTGACTGAGAAATCTTCAATCAATGTGGTTCTTGTACCAACTTTGGGAAAAGGTGACAAAAGTACCACAGTTATCTCAGCCCTTTGCAAGTCTCCAAAGGCTCTCATTATTATCATTGCTGATAAAGATGGTGGTGCAGTTGAGTTGGTTGAGGGAAAATACAAAATGGGTCTTCAAGACAGAAGTCAGTCAGATGTGTCTGAAGAACTGAAAAAAATCATTGGAAGAATTTTGTCTGGACCACATGCATCTTTCCAGCTAGAAACCATGGCTGAAGTCTCTGGAATCAGAGTGGATGAAGATGATGAAGTTTGCCAAAAAGGAAAATCTGCTGCAATGAAAATTGTGAACTTGCTTCAGGGGTTGGATGTGTCAAAGATCAAAGATACATTTCTCCCTTGTCAAGGCCAACTGTGGCACAAGTGGTGCAGAATAAACAAAGAACTGTATCACCTCAAAGGACACATTGAGAAGGAGAAGGGTAAAAAGCAACAGGAACTGATGCAAATACGACAAGATCAATGCACTGCTTCCTGTAGTAAACCGATGAAGTTGTTCATTGAAACCCTCTCATCGTCGCCATCAACAGAAAGAGAGTATTTCCTGACATGGACTCAGATCTTGATTGATGCCCTCTCCACAGATGATCTCTGTTTAATTCTACAAAGCTATGATGAAAAGTGGTCTGAGGTCTTGGCTTTGAAAAAGAAGCATGACAGATCTGATCAGTTAAAAAGAAAGCAAACTGAGCTTGAACAAATATCAACAAAACTACAGTCTGCCACTTTTGGCTTGGAGCACATCCTAAGAGAAATGGGACAGATCTATGAAGCCCATGCATCTCTGCAGAAACAAACAACGAGGGGACAAACTGACTGGTCTAAATACCCTGAGCTGGCTGCAGAGCTGATGATATCAGGACACCCAATGGAGCTGATGGATGGTGATGCAGGTCATGTGCCTTTAATGTGGATCTCTAGTCTTTTAGATGAGGTCATCAAGAAACTGGGCGACAAGAGAGTTTTTGTTTTGTCAGTGCTGGGTGTACAAAGCAGTGGAAAATCAACAAAGCTGAATGACATGTTTGGGTTACAGTTTGCAGTGAGTGCTGGCAGGTGCACCAAGGGTGACTTCATGCAGCTGGTCAAAGTTTCAGATGAGATCAAGAAAGACTTTGAGTTTGAATACATTCTAGTGGTGGACACTGAAGGACTGCGTGCTCTTGATTTAGAGGGTAACACCAGTCTTCACCACGACAATGAACTGGCAACGTTTGTTGTTGGTCTGGGAAACATGACACTGATCAACATTTTTGGAGAGAATCCAGCTGAGATGCAAGATGTTCTGCAGATTGTTGTTCAGGCTTTCATGAGGATGAAGAAAGTTCAACTTTCTCCAAGTTGTGTGTTTGTTCACCAGAATGTTACAGATATTACAGCTGCAGAGAGAAACTTGCATGGAAAAAGACAGCTGCAAGAAAAACTGGACAAGATGGCCCAACTAGCAGCCAAAGAGGAGGTTTGTTATGTTGAGTGCTTCAGTGACATCATTGCATTTGATGTACAGAAAGACGTGAAATACTTTGCCCAACTATGGGAGGGAAGTCCACCTATGGCTCCTCCAAATACAGGTTATAGTGAGAGCGTCCAAGAGCTGATGAAGTTCATCCTCTCCAAAGCTTCACAGTCAGCTGGAATTACTTTCTCACAGTTCAAAAGCAAAACTCAGGACCTGTGGAATGCTCTAATGAATGAACAGTTTGTTTTTAGTTTCAAAAACACACTTGAAATCGCAGTGTACAGAAAACTTGAGGTTCAGTATGGGAACTGGACCTGGGCCCTGAGGAGCAACATGTTGACTATTGAGAATGGGCTTTACACCAGAATTGAAAATGGAAAACTTGACAAGGTTGAGCCCAGTTATCTACATGAGGAAATGAAGATAACCTATGAAAAAATCAAAAAAGCAATGACAACATACTTTGATGATGACAGAGACAAAGAAATATTGGTTCAGTGGCGAGGACGATTTGAAAGCAAAATCAAGGAGTTTCATGACGACCAAGTGAGAGGAGTCAAAAGAAAACTGGATGAAGTGATTGAGCAGAAAAATGCTTGTAAAAAGCTCAATGATAAGAAGACAGAGTTTGAAAACAAGCTGCTACAAAAGAGCAAAGAACTTGCTCATCAGTTAAAGGACAAGGCAAAAGATGAAGAGGAACTTAAAAAACAGTTCAACTCTGTTTGGAGTGGTTGGGTTAGTGAACTAACTGCAGGCACAAGACCTATTGAGGACATCAACTATAACGACAATGTGGAAACTATACTCAATGAGCTTGGGTTTGAAAGGCCTCTTATAGCTAAATGTGAAAACAGTTTCAGGTACAAACAAATATCAGAGGTTGGTGATTACATTCATTATGTAGCTCTCAGCAAGGACCAAGATCTGTGTAACACAGGCCAACAATTTCATGAAAATGAGAGGAAAAGTGACACAAGTAGAAAAGGAAATCGTGTAGTTAAATTTTTTAAAGAGAAAATTACAAAATCAGAATATTACCTGAAAGGGTATTTTGACTTTGAAGAACAGGAACTGATCAGATCCTTCATTGACAACATTGAACAACAGTCCCTTGATGTAATCAAGAGCAAACCTGTCGCCTTAAGAGGATACAGATCAACTTACTTGCACGAAGTGGCCAACAGTGTCAAGGAAAAAGTGGCAGAATTTGAATCAAACAGGAAATATACACTGAAGAAGGAGTTTACAGTTGATCTTTTACTGTATGTGTTTGACAAAGCAGAGAGATGGCTTTCAGAGTCCCACAAGGAATTCAAAAGTAACAACGATGCACTCACTTATGTAGAAAGCAAGAAAATGCAATATTACAACATTTTCAGAAGCTTCTGCAGAGGAAGCTCATCTGCTGTTGTGTTTGGAGAACTGATCTGTGAAAAACTGAAGAGTTCCACTGTTGAGGCCGTCTGTAACAAGACTGCTATTGATCTTGCTGGAGAGATGAAGTGCAGTTTCCCAGCATTCAGTGGGAACAGGTTGAACTTGGAGAAACACTTGCTGAAGTCACTGGCTGAGAAAGAGGACTTTGGTGGTTTTATCACCTACATCCGCCACCCAAGGAACCAAGCAGAGACGTTTATAAAAGAGCAAGTACAGAAATACATCATCACAGACAACAAAGACAAAGCACAAAATATACTCAAGAAAAATGTTGCAGACATCAATAAGATTGTGAGTCAAGCTTTATTTACTGCAACAGATAAAGTCAAAACTCAGAGAGGAGACTCAGACATGTGGGTAAAGGAATTTTCCAATTTGCTAAAAGATGAGCTGACATTCGACACCATTTGTTGTCAAAACTTCAGTGACATAAACAATTTTGACTTCCTTAAAGAAGAGATAGAGAAAGGCCTTGTATCACTCATGAAGGATGTGAGCAGCCTCTCACTGGATAAGATGGAGGAATTCAGGATGAAGCCTGATCAAATCCTCATCGATCAGCTGTGTAACTGATGCTGGGTGAAGTGTCCATTCTGTGCAGCTGTTTGTACCAACACACTAGAAAATCACAGTCCTGACAAACATAGTGTGCCTTTTCATCGGCCCTCTGGGATTAAAGGATGGCATACTCGAGACACAGTGGAACTGGTCATTAACTTCTGCACAACATTAGTTGCAAGTAATCAACGTTTCTACCCCCATCCTGATTCAAATGACATTTTCCTCTATAAACAGTATCAAAAGGCTGGGGAGAAGTATGCAACATGGCAAATTACTCCTGATGGGTCTAAGATGAAATACTGGAAGTGGTTTGTTTTTCGATTTCAACAGCAACTGGAAGACCACTATAACTTAAAATTCCAGGGCAGAGGAGAAATTCCTCCTGAGTGGCAAGACCACAGTAAAGAAGAAGCTATTGAAAGTCTGGATGAAATGTATAATCTGTGACTGAGCCAGAAACAACCAAACTCTACTCAGAGTAACAGAAGGCCACAGTGTCTTTAACTGTTCAACAGAAATATGAACTTTTAATTTGATTAAAGGAGTGCAACAATAGCAATAATGACAATGGAGTCTTTTCCAAAATGACTGAAACAGCACATGTTCATAATCTGATCAATATGTATCTTAATGCTTTTGGTGTATAACAGTTGAAAGGATGCCTATCTTGAAGCAAATGAGAACACAATATATGTTAAATTACAATTAAATGATGATTGTAAAAAGTATGAAACAGATCAGAATTAGTCATAGGTTTTTTTTTTTTCATCAAAAATGTTTTTTCTTATTATTTTTCATGATGATTAAGATGCATTTAACATGTATGTACTTATTTTAAGGAAATATTATGTATAAAATATAATACTCAAATAAATGAAAGAGTTTTTTAGTTGTCATATTGTGGATATAATGTCATTACCTTAAAAACAGAAATGTAAGTTATGATTTGACTTTTGTTTTTACTATTTTTTTTACTTTTACATGAAAATCTCATCAAACAGTCATGACAAACTGATCTAATTGTATGTTTCTAAAAAAGAAAAAAAATGATCAGGGTGTAAATGTGCTGTTCATTCAAAGATGTGTATGTTTCTATCATTACAAGATGCATGAAATTTTCTTCTGACAGTTGTTCAATGTTTAAAGAGCAAACAAAGGTGTAGGCTGTTGAGCTGAGACATTTATAATTCCAATCTCATTAAAAGGCATCATAGCAGGTGACAAGGTTTTTTAGTTTTGATAAAAATTGTAAATAAAAATCTCTGTGATTGTACTTTTTTAAACATTTTTTGAGGGATCTAAAAGAATTGTGAGAACTGTAACAACTGATATGTAGGATGAGTCATAAGATGGATATTCTGCTTGAACTAATGAAGTGCTGTTGATTATGGAAAAAGGCATGAAACTTGTATTTAAGACTTGTTGAAACGGAAAAAAGGGAAACAGTTTGTTGACATATTGTGCAAAAAAAAAAAACTTTTTACATTATTTTGTTTACATTTATCTATCTGTTGCCCATCTGAAAATAATTTTTACACAAATATTTTCCTCTTCATATATTTTTAATTTTATACTTTTCCTTAAAGTCATATGTGTGTTTGTTTTTTAAAGAATCTGATAAATGATGCTTTGTACTTTTTCAAGTATTCGGAGTATACAATTCTACACTTTTGATTTTTCTTTCTTTTTTTGTTGTTATTTTTGTTTATTTTTTATATTTACTTTTGTTGTTTGCTTAATAGCTCCTGTCATCGATATATTGATATCCATAATTACAAACAGAAATAACAGCCTTTGTGAAAACAAAATTGGAATGTTTTTTTTAGACCATTCACGCAAATATTTGAGTTCAAGCCTCTTTTGGTAATATCTGGTCTGTTAAACCTGGTCTTTTCAAAAAGCTAATTAATAATTTGCTTTATAAGAAGATCAGATTTTTTTTGACACAGTTTTTTAATATGTCTAAGGCCATACCCACACGAAGATGGAACCAATTTTGATTTTTAAAATTTTTCCATAAACACGGAATCGTCTCAAGATATGTGTATGTATACATGAAGCCACTGAAAACGCTGTAGTATATATGCAAGGCCTGTAAATGGTGCTACAACGCTGCCACAAAGTACACCAGAAACACAGAATAAGAAACGGAGCGTGCGCATAAAACTCGTGCGATGTAAACAAATACAAAGAAGAAGAAAATACAAATGCCAGAGGAGCCCACTTTGTATGGACTGACGATGAGGTAGAGTTGCTACTTAGGGTCACACTTGATTACCAAACTACAAAACTGCAGGAGGATGTTGACTAGCACATGCGGGTTAAGGGAGAGGTGGGGTTATGGCGTCATTGTTTCAGAAAAGAGGTGTACTGTGTTGTAAATACAGAGACGCGAAGGTGGCGTCCTCAGATTTTTTCTACTCTGGGACCCGGTTTCAAAAGTTGGCGTATTTGGGCTCCTAAAATGCTGGTTTCATGTTTACGAAAGGTCTATACAATAAAAAACCTTTGCAGATACACCTAATTTGTCTCCGTGTGGACATGACCTTAGACCTGCCACATATCAATCCAAGTACACGACACCTGATTATTTCAGCTGTTAAAGGCGGAAGAAAAGGTGGTGAGAAGCTGTCTGGGTTAGAGGAGAAGTAGAGACACTTGCTATCAAAGTGGAACAGACAGAGTGAGTGAAGCTCGTTTTTTCTTTATTTCCTTTTTGCATGTCGTGCACGTTTTCGGGTGAAGGTAAAAAAAAAAAATTCCTTTAAAAGTGATAAGTTTGTGCATTTTTTGATATTGATTTTTGCCTCCACAAATTTGATTTACTTCTAATACTGCTAAGAAAAACTGAGAGTTTGATTACAATGGGATTTGGACAGAGCAAAACCTCAAAGGGGAAAATTGAGCCTGATTATGGTGCTCCAAACGTGAAGTTTATGGAGATTAATTATGGGAAGGAGAGCGTGGCTCAGTTAGATCTGTAGGTCAATGAGTGCTGTTTCCCGAGAACAGGCAGCCTGAGTGTTAAAAAGCTTGAGGCTTTAGAGGTGAGGTTAACAGACTTAGAAAGGAGGGGATTAGAAGGGAAGTTTGGAGGTAAGATCAAGTTCCAGGCAGATTGGTCAGCTTTTCGTAATTGGATGAGGGAAGCCAAGCACAGGCAGGGCCCCAAAGGTTTCCCAGCGCAGTGTTCGAAGCTGGATTCAGACCTCGATTCGGCTCCACCTGTATGGCCCCCACCGCATGTTGAACACCACGAACCGGAGGGAGCAGCTGGCCATTTAGCTGTTCTGTTATCCACCTTATCTGAAAATTATTTTATCCATCATTGTATTTTGTTTTTATTCTTGTATGTTTATCTATTTTGAATACTATTTGTAGGCTTTTTTCTAAATGAATTTGATGAAGGACACTAACTTTCTCAAGTACTTGAAGCATACAACAAGTTTTTACTTATCTGATTTTTATTTTTTTTTTCATCTTATTACTGCTACTTACTACTACTGCCTATACTGGAATTTATTCTGTTTGCTTAATCAGATTTCTGTCATTGCCACAGTATATTTATATACATACATACTAACAGAAATATTATTCTTTGTGAGAAAAAATAAAGAAGTTTTCTTTCACTTTAATAAACCATTGACATTCAGTCATTGGAGTTTAAGCCTCTTCTGGTAACAATGAGTGTAATGAGAAGGCAAGATTTTCCCTTGACACACTCTCAAAATACTTTCTGCGCATACTAATTTAAGTACATTTTATTCATATCACCCAGTTCACAAATAGTGTTGATGTTGTCAGTTACTTTTACATGCATTCTTCTTAGTCCCAAGATCAAAAGTCCATGTTGGTTTTAATCATATTTAGTCAACCTCAATACCCCTGGATTTTCCCTGAAAGATGAGTGACGTTTTAAGTGGGTCACCTGGAGATAAACAGTATGTGCTTGACTGGCTGATTTAAACCGCTGCAGTCTCCATTTACAAATTCAGTCCCCCCTCCCAGACTGACAAACCTGGCTAGGTATAGCAATATATACACATACACAGATTTGAGAGAATGTAAGGGTGATGAATGAATAGCCATAAAAAAAAACTTAATGTAGGGTGACCCAGTTACTACTAAATCGTATTACAACAAGGAATGTGTAACCAGCTCCACCCACCCTTGCATAAGTTTCTCCCCAAACAAGACTCACATTGTCTATATGAACTCTGTTAATATAAAACACACCAAAGTGACATAACACTGTAAGTTATTTGTGATGATCAAGTATAATACTCATAAAAATATGGCAAATCAGAAATACATATTACTTTTAATAGTTAACTGTAACATAAGAGGCTTGCATCACACTGTAATATCCTAAAGGGGCCTAAATAAAAATAAAATGGCGAAAAAAAAATGCTGCCCTTTAGCCCACAGCAGTGTGAATGACTGACTTTTTATTATTTGCAGTGACAAAGTCCATGGCTGAGTCAGGATCTTTGAAAGTGTAAGTCTATCTGCTTGGCAGGGTTATCTTCTTTACAGCCAGGAGCCTTTAATGAGGGCAGAGCATCAATTCACGCTGCTTCCAGTGGGGAAGGTTTGTATTGTTATCATCAGGTCCATAGGGAACCTGCGCCTGCAGATCTCCACAGATTTTCAGAATATAAATGCTTCTTGTAAAACTCACTATTTGCTAAACCCCTTTTTGTTAGGAAAGGTGGACAGACTCTCACACACGATTTTCTTTGTTTTCTTTATTTGATTTATGGTTTCAACATTAATTAAGAAACACGAACAATAGCAGCTAAACATTAGAATGAAGATGCAAGTTTTTCTTATGAATGAATTAAATATATGCAATAATCTAAGCCATAAGATGTCGGAGTTTGGGTCCTTTGTGGAGGGCCCGCCTACTCCTCAGGTTTGATTGGTCAAAGGATGTGTGATCACAATGACAGTTAATTAAGATATATATTGACTGATGTACAAATGATTTGCATACCTTGCATGTATAGCATTTATAATTACATACTGAAGAATGACATGAGGCTTTGTTGGTATGAGCAAACTAAGAAACACACTATATATTTGTTGTTAACCTTGTCAATCATTCTACAGTGCTGACCTGATAGGCCAGTTTGAACTGGCAAGGCGGGCTCTCATGCTATATATGTGCATGCAATGAGGGAAAAAATGGACTGGTTAAGGAGGACTGGCCCCAGCACTGTTTGAACTGTGTAATGAGCAAGAAGTGTTCTTGCTTTGTCTTTCTTTTGTTTCATTTTGTTATGGAGACTGAAAATAAAAGTCTGCCTAATTTTCTCAGCATAACTCCCTGCCAGTGTGATGTTTTTTTGTCCTCAAGTCTCATCATGCTTCCCTGCACCTCACCTATATACACATATATGTGTTTGCACATCACATATGAAAGTGCCTGATATAAAAACATTTACCTTTTTACAGTATGTGATGTTAGGAATGTTTCTGTTTTACATATATATATATGTATATATGTATATATATATCTCTCTATCTATCTTATCACTTTAAAGCTACTGGTATCTGTAATGGTATCATAATTTTTTTAACGATACCCAGTCCTTCAGTATTAACAAACTCATAATAACGAAACAGTCACAGGGGCTATTTTTCTGCAGCGCAAGTACTTTTACTTTTAATATTTAAAGTACATTTTGCTAAAAATATTTCAGTACTTTTACTAAGGGAGGATTTAGAATGAACGACTTGTAATGGAGCATTTTTACTGTGTTGTACTGGTCCTTTTTTGAGATCTTTCAGGGTTTTTTTGTCAATGCTCGAGGGCAGATCGAATATATGAGGACATTCTACTTCCCTATGCAAGTCATCACCCCCTGCACACATCTATGATACTGAACCAGCGACATAAATATAAACAGTAGAGGCAGGGCAGTTGCAGTGGGGCCCATAGGGTGAGGGAGCCCCACAGAAAACGTGGGCCCTCCAACAATATGTTGGGCAGAAAATGGCCCTTTGCAAATAATTCAGATGGCAACCTTAGGAATACGCCTATGTTTCATTTTTAATGTAGATGTTCTAAATTATATGCTTATTCTACATAAACTATAACAACTATTTACTCACATGAATAATTTTAATTTTCCTTGGTATTTTTGTCATATATATGCAGTGATGATTAATATGTATATTGGTGTGCAGTAATCCAATGTCAAGTCTTGCTTTGAACATGTCACAAGATGATAAGATTATATGGTATCTAGTTTAGGCATGAAACTAAAAACTAGCTTGCACTGGGGTCCGCTGTAACTACCTTTAACCACTGTACTGAACATTAAGTATTCTTACATAAGCATTCACATATAATACCAGTGTCTGTCCATGGCATTAAAGAGGCCGTCAACTGCCAGAGCTCCTCTTTACCCCTCTACTCTTTTAAATCTCCCCTCCCAGACAGCTATGACAGCACAGCAGCAGGAGAAGAGTCTGAAATCCAATCTTCTTTTGCAATGAAAATAAAAGAAATATTTGAGGAAAGGCTGAAAACCCCTGAATCATCAGCCTAACAACACCACTTAGTGCTTCTACTGCAATGTACTGGCACTTGTTTATTTAAGAGTGAGGGCACTCACCCAGAAAAGGACAAAGTAATTGATCAAGTCTCAGGCTTTTGGTTTTAATCAAAAACTATCACCAGGAGCAGTTTTAATTAAAACTAAAAGCTTGAGACTGAATCAGTGCCTTGTGCCTCTTTTTATATGTGTCTTGGATCAGTGTCTACTTAATGCTTTCTAAACATGAACTATTGTAGTGGCTGTAGCTACCAGAGTTACATGACAGCAGTATGTGCTTGGCAGTGTTTGAGTAGTGTGACCTTTTAGCCTCATCCTTGTTTTCCTCTAAGTCACAAGGTTTCTGGGAAGTAGAGCTCTCTTACTTTCACTTTCAGTTGCTATTACTGATTTAGCTGTCTTACTTTCCCTTTCCCGTTTGTCATCACTGATTTATGAGTACACATGCAGAGATGCCTCTGTCCTGTTTTGGACTAACCTCTTCTAATGTGTTGCAGATCAGTGGATCTTCGAGTTTGTACTTAAAGTCTTTCTAAACATGAACTATTGTAGCAACTGTAGCTACCAGAGTTACAGTGCAATGTTGACAATATGTGCTTGGGAGTGTTTCATTAGTGTGACCTTTTAGCCTCATCAGTTTTCCTCTAGATCATGAGATTTCTGGGAAGTAGAGCTCTCCCCCTCACTTTTAGTGCTGTTATTACTGATTTTGCTTTCTTAGTTTTTTGTCATTACTGATTTACAAGTAATGTGCCTGCAGAGCCTCTCAGCTCCTTATACCTATCACACCACATGAGATTAATAGCAGATGGGAGGGGTCTGTGAGGGGCAGAGGTGGAACTAAACAGGCCTCTGATCCTATCTCTCTCTGCAGGGTGGGAACCGGAAAGAAAGTAACAAGTGTTGAGTGTTGACAGCAGTATGTGCTTGCCAGTGTTTGAGTACTGTGACCTGTGATCTATTAACCTCACTGTTCTCCACCACAAGTCACTAGAGATTTCCAAGAAATAGAGCTCTCTTACTTTCACTTCTGGTTTTGTTAATACTGCACCACATCAGACTTGCCAAGAGCAGGAGGGGTTTCTGAGGGGCGGACCCAAAACTGCACAGGCTTCAGATCTCTCCATATATAGGGTGGGACTGGAAGGATATCTGAAAAAGTAGCCACATTTTCACAGACCAGGCAGAGCTAAGGAGATGCAAAACAAACGGTGAGTTTAAATTTTACATTGTTTTTGTGTCCACTTAAAATTTGAGCATGTCCAGTTTTATAACAGACATTGAACTTTTCTGGCAGCTTAAGTTTCATATTGAGATATTTCTTGATAAGTCTTTGCTGCTCTTGTATAGTTTTGAGCGCTTGTGCTCGCGCACACACACACACACACACACACACAGACACACACACACGTCTTTCTATACTTGTGAGGACCTTCACTGACATAATGCATTCCCTGTCCCAGGGGCGATTCTAGGATCAGAGGTTTAGGGGTGCTGAGCACCCAGAGATCTGCCCGGCCAAGCAACATAAATTTCACTGTTTTGTA